GAAACATCATGCTTTGGGGCTGTTTTCTGCAAAGGGACCAGGACGACTGATCCGTGTAAAGGAAAGAATGAATGGGGCCATGTATCGTGAGATTTTGAGTGACAACCTCCTTCCATCAGCAAGGGCATTGAAGATGAAACGTGGCTGGGTCTTTCAGCATGACAATGATCCCAAACACACCGCCCGGGCAACGAAGGAGTGGCTTCGTAAGAAGCATTTCAAGGTCCTGGAGTGGCCTAGCCAGTCTCCAGATCTCAACCCCATAGAAAATCTTTGGAGGGAGTTGAAAGTCCGTGTTGCCCAGCGACAGCCCCAAAACATCACTGTCTAGAGGAGATCTGCATGGAGGAATGGGCCGAAATACCAGCAACAATGTGTGAAAACCTTGTGAAGACTTACAGAAAACGTTTGACCTCTGTCATTGCCAACAAAGGGTATATAACAAAGTATTTAGATGAACTTTTGTTATTGACCAAATACTTATTTTCCACCATAATTTGCAAATAAATTCTTTAAAAATCAGACAATGTGATTTTCTGGATTTTTTTTTCTCATTCTGTCTCTCATAGTTGAGGTATACCTAGGATGAAAATTACAGGCCTCTCATCTTTTTAAGTGGAAGAACTTGCACAATTGGTGTCTGACTAAATACTTTTTTTGCCCCACTGTATATAGACAATATTGTTTTTACTGATGAGAAGTGTTCGCCATCCAATTGCCAGACAATGCAATCCTTGCTTATATCTCCAATTCTCAAGGTTTTGTTTTATGATTTAGAATGATATGAATGTGAAGATGGCAGGCAAGCATACATTTCTCTCATCTTTGATCCTTCAAATGTATAGTTATACATTTGAAAGAACATCCATAACATTAATCTGTTTTCAACTTATATATATCAATATTCCAATTACTTGTATATAGACTATTTTGCACTATTTCTACTATATTCTATTTTATTTTATTGCACTATTTTATTTTGTTGCACTGTTGGAGGAGCCTGTGACCTAAGATTGTCATAACTACACTGTAGCTATGCACACTTGATAATAAAAGCCTTGAATCTTGAGTAAGGCATGATTTTTTTCCTATTTGGATGTTTCTCTTATGAAGGAGTTGATAAGAGAAGTGACCTTCACCATCCTCAGCCCAGCTCACCATGACTACTGTCCAGCTCAGTCCAGTGAGCCTTGGGGTGTGATGTAGCCTTGGCGCTCAGTTGGGAGCTGGATGGGAGTCAGTGAGCTGGCTATGATTTTAGATTAGCATGGCCTGAAGACTCAGCATCTCATCCTCATGTGGCAGGGTTAGAAAACACACAGGGGCGGGTACATCTACAGCCATGCTGCTGCACAAGAGAGGTCTGCTGAGTGCAAGACCAGTCTCTCAAAGAGGATGCTAAATATGAAGGGATGTATGTCAGTATCACATGTGTTGCTGTCGAATCAATCTTGTAATCCTTTCATGTGTAGGGTACTCTGTGTATGATCCCCCCTTCGGCCCAAAATGTGCTTTGACATGCTTCAGATTTTTGACACATTATTTGTTGACAGACTGAAACTTGCCTATGACATACCATGCAAAATTTGAAATATGGCTCATGCCTAAGACAATAACTCACCTATTTCCATGGCAACTATGGTATTGGTCACATAACCTGTGCATACTTGGCCTATACATGAATGTCATTAATTTGAATGAATGTAGTTAAATCAGCGCAGGTCAATTGGTAAGCTATGTATACTGCCAACCTTGTGTTATTACAGCATTACCCAGGTTTAAAACTGAGAATTTCAAAAATATCCACACGCAGCACGCCTACTCTAAAATACACACCGACACACACACAAAGGTATGAAGTCACCGTGTATGACACACCGCAGCACAGCTGGCACTCTCTGGTTTCACACAGCCAGGAATGATCGGTTCACACAACCCTATTCAAACCAGCATAAACACCGGTTAAAATCACGGTGCCTTTGGTCGGTTACAAAGTTACCGAGGCCTACACTCCCCGGGTTTTCACTTCTCTCGGAGGCAATGCGGTAGTCGGGCCGGGCTGGACCAAGCGCTCTGACGGACCAGAGGACAGCGGAGGAGGCGGCGGCAGACCTACCTTCTCCCTTCGCCGCTCCCAGGGCACTCCCATGCATCGAAAACACAGACAAAACCCTCTCTCCGTCCTTCAGACACAACCTAGACCCGGAAAAGTTTAGGAAAAGGGACTGTCACGACAGATAGAGCCTCCCCCGGTTCCCAGCTAACTCCAGCGGCAGCAGCACTGAGGGACGGTGCGGAGGAAGGCGACGCCACAACAAGCACCGAGCGAGCATGCGGGTGACGTCATCGCGCATTTATTTACGTGGGTGCAAACTTTTTTTTTTTTCCTCGAAAACTTTGTGGAAAAAAACTTTTTGGACCGGATGTTATCGATAAAATGTCGTCATTATCGGTGGTGTAACAAGTAATCAGATCATGTTCATGAGTTAGGTAAAAACTCAATCACAGTCAAGTCCTCCATTCATAATAGTATTGTAGAACAGTCAATAGTCTGATTATTACACTAACATGCAGTTTATTCTACTCATTTATACCTCATTATGTATAATTTAAGATGCTGTATATGAGATGTAAAAATCAGATCTTAAAATATGTAACTTTGGCTAAATGTGTAGTGAAAAGTACTTCAAAAGTATGCACTCACAGTTGAATGTCACCAATGTATTGATGCACAATTAAAGGCATTCTAAATACTACTATAATTAGTAACTCACTATCCAGCAGTTGTAAAAGAGAAGAAGAGGTCTTAAAATACACATTTATTCTGTCGTGAAATGTTTAATATTTCTGTAAACTTTCATCTCTGTTGGGCTGAATCACTTTATTCATTTAAATGAATAATAATTGACATTGTATGCTTATGTTGGAGTAATAATAGCCAATATGATTACTTGAAAGAAGAAACACTGGGTCAAGGAAAAAAGATAAAACAACGGCAGACTTTGAAAATAATCCTTTATCTTTTTATTAAATGCCTGCTTTTCTCTTTAAAACATACCATAGAAAATACAATTACAGTGAAAGATATAAATCAAACCCTTTGTTAAGCCCATATAAAATATAAATCAGATAAATACAGAATATTACAATAATTATAAGCCCATTCAAACTGCTGACAAACAAAAGTATTATTAAAGGTCAAGGTATAATTTATTTGCTGATGAAAGTTTAAATTATTTTCAGGTTTGTCTACAGAGATGTTCCAACCTATGATGAAAATGAGTTAGTCATGAAAAAAGGTTAATGTTGTACCTTGAACTGACTTTGGAACCGGCACTCCTTTTACACTGAATAAATGAACATACAATATATATTTTAAATTAAAATATAATAACAAACAAAATGGAGCAGAAACATAATAAAATAATCAAGTATAATGTGAAAGTCAGATTGATATGGAATTGTCTTCTAGTAGTAGCTGTTAACAATATTGAAATTATGGGATAATGGCTCAAAGGCACAGTTTTGGCATAAAGGTGCAGTAAAATATTTATTTATGAAAAAACAGATTTTTATAATTTAAAAAACTCACTGGAATAAAAATGTTTAATACCTTCATTTCCCATTACGTAAAGAGAGGTAAGTCACCACCGATAGACATTAGAAATGCATTAAAAAAAAGAGAATAAACTACGTCAAGCATCATTGTGTACATGCATAATGCACATTTGGTCCTCATATTGCACAACTGGAAACACTTCAATATACCATATTATTGATTTTTCTGCTCAGATGCAGAAAGTGTTTTAGGCTCATCTCGAGATAATAAAAAGGCACAGCATGATGGTTGCTTTAGGTGTGTGAATGTTGTTTTCATAGATTGTTCTGTGAGACGTCAATGGCACTGGCGCATCCTCAGCAGTGTCTTGGTCTGACTTCACATTACTCTTCTTTTAAAAATCATTGTACCGTTTACCTCTTTCATTCTTTTCACACACACACACACACACACACACACACACACACACACACACACACACACACACACACACACACACACACACACACACACACACACACACACACACACACACACACACACACACACACACACACACACACACACACACACACACACACACACACACACTGAAGAAATTGCACAACTGCACTGTATATCGATGAGCCTCCTTTCAGCTCTCCTGTGCTTTGTGAACTGTAATTATTCCACAGTCACAGATTTGGCCAAGTTTCTGGGAAAGTCAACCTGCAAAAATAGAAAGCGGTTTGTTAGAGCTGATAACCTAAACCGTGATTGTGTTGAATCACATTACGTGCTGTTGCTGATTATTAACTAGAAAACATAAAGTTATCTTTTACGTTAAAGGTTCCCTATTATAATGTTTTTCATCAAAAGATATTATAGGTCTCAGATATATACAAAGCATATCTCTGAAGGGTTTAGCTCGAAATACCAAACACATCATGCATTGTAGCATCCCATAAACCCCTCTGTTTCAGGCCTGTTTCAACAGTGCTGATTCTGTGTCTTCACTTTAGATGAAGAAAAAGTGCCACTCCCCACGCCCCTCTGAGAGATATTTGGTTAAAAAGAACACAATGGTGCTCTAGGAGGAGATTCAGGTGATAAGGTAAATCGTTATGACATCATAAAGTGGCCAAAATCTGATCAGCTCATTTTCAGAAAGGTTTTTATATAAATGGATCAGGACAGAAAGTGAGCAAATCTTTTTTCCTGAAACTTTCAGAATCTCCTTACACAGAGGGGACACATGTTTATGTATAAAAGACATGGAAAAGTGGATTTTGCATAATAGGTGATCCTTAAAACAAATTGACAAGCTAGAAAAGGTGGAGAACAAATGATGGTACAAAGGACAGATAAGCACTCATAAAGTAAGAGATACATTATAAAAGCACAATGTAAATATTGATGTCTGAGTCAAAGGCAAGTTCTTGTTCTCGTGATAAGAACTGATTACACATGTCAACTGTGTAAACTACGTCAAGACATTATCCCAAATGGTGAGAGCAATGAAAGGTGAGAACGAGATTATCAGTATGTAAAACCAAACCTTCCATACATTTGAAAACAAACAAAAAATCCAGCCATGGTAACAAACCTGGCATAACAATTTATACTCTGATGTTCATAATTATTGCTAAATTAACAACATAAATCTGAAGAACACCTCATGTCTGAACTACAGAGTTATCAAAGCCATGTGCAAATCAATAAAACAGAAGCACTTTGACAAAAAAGCCCTACATCTTTCATGTGCAATTATATCTCATCGCTATCATTTTCACTGCATGGTATTGACATGTTACTAGCGACTGACCTTTTCAAAATTCACATGATAATGAACTAATTTGTCATTGTTTGTTTGATGATCCTTCATTTCTGGGGCTCAATTCAGTGATCACATTAGCATACAAACAATACGCTAGATAAAGAGCAACACTTTATTGCTCAAAACTAATGTTAAAGCAAGTTAAGGTGACTATTTTTCAAATTCAGCGATATTTTTTATGTAAAGCTTGAATCGAAAATTGTGTTGACTACTTACGTCATATCCTCGCAGCACGGCCAGGTGGAAGGACAGGAGCTGCAGGGGTATGACGGTGAGGATGCCCTGCAGACAGTCCACAGTTTGAGGCAACTCGAGGGTGTGGTAGGCATTCTTACAAATATCAGTGTCGTCCTTGCAGCAAAGGATGATGGGCCGACCCTGATGGAGAGAGAGAGTCAAGGTCAAGAACGTCAGCCAACTAATTTAGCTACCTTCAAAGCACTCAGAACAGTGAAATGTGTGTGCTTCAGTGCTTACGGGTTGCAGTAATATGTGTTTTATCAGGACCTACCGATCTGGCAGTGACTTGTTCCAGAGCGTTCTGGCACTTTGTGTAGCAGGAGTCTTTCATTATGATCATGATGACCGGCATCTCTTTGTCGATAAGTGCCAGAGGGCCGTGCTTCAGCTCCCCGGCCAGGATGCCCTCCGAGTGCATGTAGGTGATCTCCTTGATTTTCTGCATGAGAGTAAAAAGAACAAAACTATTTTAGAATGATATCCTGAACAATAACACTTCAACTCTGCTATGCAATGCTGGAAAGGAACTAAGTACCATATATGACTATTCTGACATATTTGTACTTTATACTTCTACATCTCAACATATCAGAGGCAAATATTGTACTGTTTACATCACAACATGTATTTAACGTTCGATAGTTATTTCTTACAACATATTGAATGCTTGTATGCTATGATTAAGTACTGTACTACCCAACGTATTTTGTCAAAGTACCTCAAATTGGAATATTTACAATCTACAATAATAGAATGCCATTCTGCATACTGAGTACTTACTTTGAGTACATCTAGCTGATAACACTTGTGTAACTCTACTTAAGAAACATTTGAAATGTAGTGTTTTCAACTGTAATGGAGAATTTAAAATAATTGATCTAAGTGCTTCCAACAACTCTGCTGATGTGTAATCTGAGGTTTCTACTTTGCTTCATTATGTTATTATAGGTAACTGCAGTAATTGTCTACTGTGGCATTCTCAACTCACCAGTGCCCCTTCGAGGCAGGTGGCGTAGTGGTAACCTCGGCCCATGACCAGAAGAGACTTCTGCTGATACAGTTCGTCAGCGATGGCTTTGATCTTCTTATCCAGAGCCAACACCTGCTTTATCAGGTCTGGAGGATTATGAGGGGGAGATGGAAGTGTTATGGTAACAGTGAGATTAAGAGGACATGTTTTAAACAAACAATGCAGCATATTATTAGTTTGACTTGTCAGTGGTGGTCAAACATGGTTCATCATCTGTCTGTCTGCATTTCAAGTTCAAAATACACATATCATGTAAATTATGCAACAACTAAGTACCATATTTTACAATTCTGACATGTTTGTACTTTATACCTCTACATTTCAACATTTCAGAGGCAAATATCGGACTGTTTAATTCACAACATGTATTTAACACTAACAGTTACTAGTTACTTCTAACAACACATTCAATGCTTGTATGATATGATTAAGTACTGTACTAATCAACCCAGTATTTTGTCAAATTGGCAGATTTATAAACTACTATAACAAAATGCCATTCTGCATACTGAGTACTTAGTTTGAGTACATTTAACTGATAACACTTTTGTAAATTAAGTAAAGTTACACAGTGTAACTCTACTTAATAAACATTTTAAATGTAGTATTTACATCTTCTGTCTATCTGCAATTCAAGTTCATAATACACATATCATGTTAATAATCCAACACCTCTTTTAACATTAATATGTTGTTATCTATTCAGACTCTCTCTCTCGCCTCTCTACACTCGGATTTTGAGTGTGATATAATTTTTGAAAGTTACAAGATAAAAATTGTATTACCGCCCCAATTCTTTAAATAGATATTGCAATGCCATTGTTATGATGAATTGTTTGTTGTGACATGTTGAGACTGTGAAGGCTTTGCGAGATTAACAGATTTTTTTGGGACTGACCGGGTAGCATCTGGAGACCGTTGATAATGTCCAATCTTCGCTGCTGGAGGGAGAGCCTGTCCTCGCTCATCATCAGACCAAACATGACGAGGGCCACAAACTGACTGGTGTAGGCCTGAATCACATACACAACAGACACACATTTAACCCCAAGTCATGCTGAACATTGTGGCATATATAACAAATAACACGGAAATTTGTATAGAATACAGCATTTAAAGAGAGTTGTGTTTGCCAGATTCTGACAAAGGTTTCATAAACCAATGGGATGCATGTATAAATGATACCTTGGTGCTAGCCACTCCTATCTCCGGCCCAGCATTGATGTGGACTCCACAGTCTGTTTCTCTACAAATGGAGCTGCCCACGGTGTTGGTTACACCGACTGTCAGAGCACCTTGACCCTTGCAGTATCGAAGTGCCATCAGGGTGTCTGCTGTCTCTCCTAAAGGAGCAGAGGGAATAAATACAGAAATGCTTTTAATGCAGAATTACAGAACTACAATGCCACTGTATGGTTAAAACACAAAAAGATGAGGGTATTGTCAATCGGTTTCAAATGACAAGACAGTTTCATGGTCAGATTTGTCTTAGACGCAAAGTGACAGACATACAAATATTTTTATTTTTACCTGACTGGCTGATGAAGAAGCAAACGTCGTCTCTAAAGACTGGCGTGTTGCGGTCCAGGAAGTCGCTTGCCAGCTCCACCATGACAGACAGCTCCGTCAGCTCTTCCAGGATCTGTCTTGTCTGAAATCATCATCATATAATCATCATGCATCATCTTATTTGTTGTTGAACTTTTATTAGTGAATGATCGTTGTCACGCTTATCATAATTTGAGATTGTTCTACTCACAGCCACAGCAGCGTGGAAGCTAGTGCCGCAGCCAATCACAATGAGCCGCCTGCAGCGTTTTATTTCTTTCAGGTGATCCTTCAGCCCACCGAGGATCACTGGGGAAATGGATGGAAAGTTACATTAGTAAAATGTGAATAAGGCAAAATATATGCTTCACTCTCTGGTCACCCTCTTTCAAAGGACTCCACGTTCAAAGACAAATAAGAAGAAGGATATACTGCAGATCCTGCATCCTGAATGAGTGCCTGCCAATATTGATAAATGGGATCCGGGAACTGTACATTTATTATGTTTACAAAAAGGCAGGGAAGGATGGCAAGATCTCTATTCACCTGTGTTGGTGTCGAAACAAATCCGTCCTCTCATTGTGTTGAAGACTGACTCTGGCTGCTCAAAGATCTCCTTCTGCATGAAGGCATCAAAGTTACCTGCAAAAAAGGAGCACATATGTACATCAGATGATCTGGTCCCTACCCATTGTGACACAATGAGGGCATGCAGAATGTCCCCAAGAGATAAGACAGAACACAGAGGCACATGGGAGGGTCTTTGCTGTTTTCCCTCTCAGCCAGCAGAGGGCGAGCAAGTATTGGTCTACAAATTAGACCGGATCAGTAGCACTCCATGCATGTTGTCAGAGTACTGGAAGTAGAGAAAGAATTGTTGAATTGTTTTGTGTTTCTGCAGCGTTGGAGTGAACCGTCACTAATCTTTCCCTTACTTTTTGTCCCACCCTGTGTTATCAGGAAAGGTTATAAAATGTTCTGTCTCAGTTTTCTTGACGCAGGCTCGAGGCTGAAGGCATTGGGTTGTTTAGACTAGATAACCAAGATGAGGCGCACACCTCCTGCTGTGACCATGTTTCCTGGGTATGATTGAAGTTGGACGGATAGTTTCTTTAGGCTAAACAGTGTTTTGACACGTCTGTTTCCTGTTATAAATGCATTCATTCACTCGTGCAATCATTCAAGTCTTTGTGTCCGTTGTCTGACCTTTCATGATCTGTTGCAGCTCCATCTGCAGGGTCTGGATTGCCCTCACTGGATTCTCATTGACCTTCCGTCTCAACCTGTGGATGGAGAGTTTCCCCTCGGAGACCACCGCCATGTCATCATCCTCCAGGTACAACACCTTGTTGGTGTGCTCAATGATGGCACTGTGACGAGAGAGAGAAGACCAATACATGAAGATGTCCTTTAGTGTAGTGATTATAAAAGGTCCTGAACTATCTTTCGTCATGAATGCTTGATAGATATGGAAGAGAGAGACATGTAAAAATACATAACATATTATAATCACATGACAGATAAGAATTCAATGATTTGACTAATTGCATCAATATTAGTATCCCACCTGGCGTCAGAGGCAAAGTAATACTCCACAGCTCGGCCATCTCCCACTGAGTCGATGTCGCTGGAGCAGTCAGCGAGATTATGGCTGTTCTTCTCCTGGACTCCCTCCTTGAAGAGGGCTACAAGGTCGAAAGACACGGGTCAGAGGTCAGAGGTTGCACAGTGAATTTGAGTGACTAAAACAATCAAGATGTGCTCATGACTTGAATTCCTTCACTCAACTTCTAAATAGGTTTGTCATGTCGTGAAATACAAAAAAGAGAAGAAAAGAGTAATGCTCTAACAGATGCGCTATTTTAATATGTTGTTTAAACAACTTAACTTTTTAAATAAGATTCGTAGTGAAATCAGTAATCATGTTAACTGAAGAATGTTGGACAAATAAAATGGAAAAGTTTTTTCCACCATTAAAAGGACACACCCCCCTTGGACTTTGTACTCAGACTCTTGCTTGAACCCTCAAGCTATATTGAGTAGATAAGAAAGTGAGGACACAGTTCCACTCCAGCTCAAACTCAAGACTCAACAACAAAACAAGCAGGTTGTTGCAAATGTACAATTTTGTTATAATTGTTGACAGATTCTTTTTGTAACAAGCCTATCTGAGAGATTACAAGAGAAACTCTGTCTTTAACTCTCTTCATTTCTGCTAACTCTAGGATTGAAAACTACTTTCTTTATCCAGTATCCACTTGAGTTTTGAAAGGACCACTACCCGCGGCCACTACACAAACAAACTAGCAACCTTTAAGGGAAATTGATTTCTAAGAAGGTTTTTAAACATAATTATTGCACAATGAATAACAAAGCTACAAAACATCTTGTACTACTTCTAAGTTAGCCAAAAGCGTCACTTGTGGTGTTTGTCAGCCTACTTCCTGAAAAAGAAGTAAGAACATATAAACTATACGCAGTCTTTCAAGGAGAAGGAAAGGAGAAGAATCTCCCTTGATAGGATACATGTTTTAACGCTACTGTACAACGCTTCTTTCTGCAGACCTGTATAAATCTGAAGTTTTCATAAAAAGAACAAAACAAACTGACACGTCTCTGTGCAGCCAAAGCCTGATTTAACTCTCCATTTGGGAGCTATTAAAAACACGTCAATGAGCCACACTGTTGAACCGGGATGTTCCTTCTTTGCAAAAAACACGGGCAGCGTAGTTTATTTGGAGTCGATTCCACATGCATGGTCCAGCTGGCTGAAAATAGTCCCCTACTAACATTTACTGCTCTTTGAGGTGTCTCTAAACAACACAGCCCAGCTGTTTTAGGAAAGCATTGACTCTCTTTAAAAAATAAATGAAAATAAATAATCACCAATTTCAAGACCAACAACTTCAGTAGGAAAGAATACATGGGGCTGTGAGTTAAAAGGCAGCAGTCAGACAGTGTTGAGAAATAGCACAATGTGTTTTGAAATGTGTCTTTGCCTGCTTTATCCTTTTAAAAACCAGACAATGTGAAAAGTGAATAAAGCAATGGTTTCTCTAATTGTTCAATCATATGAAGTGATACATTTAAGAATAGTGATTTTCAGTTGTTTAAAAAAGGTTCGCTTTCGATGTAGTATTTCACAACTTCCTGTATGAGTGGTCGGTCTGGATTTAAGTCCATATGTTCTAATTATACTTATTTGCTGTGTAAGAAAAAATGTGTTTATTTCCAAATGTACTAAACCGATAATTATAGATAATTAAATTTGTTATTAAATGAAGTATGCTGATACATTTAGAAAACTCTCTCTATGTTTCTACCTATGTCTGTGTGTGAGCATTCAGAGATGTAGGGTGCATTGTAAGTGGATAAAAAGACAAATGGAGACAGGAACAGAGCTCACCATTGTTGTACTGGATGGGGATGTCTTCAGTTGAAAGCTCATACTCGCTTCGCACACCAATGAGTAACGGACTTCCTCTCCTGTCAGGACGAGAATGAGGCAGGCAAAGAGGAAGATAGGTAGAGATGGAGAGTGGGAGAAAGAAGATGATTAGGGTTTTGCACATTCAGCCCAACATCAGATACATACACTGTTGCATGGTGCTTTGTAAAAGTATGAATGATTTTAACCCGGACTTCCTATTGTGCTTTATTATTCAAACAAAACTGCTCCTCTTGATCACCACTGTTTTACCCTGATCCCTGACTTTGTCTTCCTTGTTACAGCCTTAGTTGTTGATCTTTCTTTACTCAATCCTAGGTTGGATTTGTCCCAGTCTCAGACATCCCCCTACTTATTCCGGATCTCTTCTAAACTTCCTAATCCCAAACATAAGACAGGTAAACTGATCCTCGGTTCGTCTCTATCCTCTTGAATTTGCTCACATTTCCTAGACAGAGTCACTATACTTCCTCATTGACTCCATGTGGGCTTCTCCTATTGGCTGTGGAGGCAGAGAAGGTGTGACCAAATGGATTTAACAGGTGAAGGAGTAGGGTGTGACAAGACTATGAAATAGATGAAACCCTAACACACTTATAATTGTGACCACAGTTCAAACAGTAAATCTTAACAACCCTCTTCATGGCGAGTAACTTATGACACAAATCCTTGAGAAACGCTGTCCAAAGAGCCTCTCCTTGTTTCTTGTCTTTCTCCATCTGGACCTCTCTATGATTTCTGCTTGGCTGTTCTCTGGGGCCCGGCTACGCTGACGCAAGACCGTCGGTTGTTTGAAGGGGTGTGGGGCTTGAATAGGGAAGGCTTGCAAACAGAAACATGTGGTGGCTATCCAATACAATATATTTCACCCTTAGGGAGGGAATGACGGAAAGAAGAGACGCTGTGGGATGAAAGAAAATAAAGGAGTAAGAGAAAGACAGGTGGAAAGAAAGAGAAAAGATGAACAATACATAGAGAGTTAAAGGAAGAGAAGCTGAGAAGAAGAGAGAGAAAGTTTTACAGGAAGATTAACGACAAAGGGTGGGGTGGTGACTAGCATCACTAGATAATTACAAACATTCCCTCATCCCTCTGTCCTAGGACACAAAGCTGACTATTCAACATTTTAACCGCACAACTGCATTGTGTTAGCCAAAGCTGTGCAATACACTGATATCTTTGCTTCAGAAACTACAGGCAAACAATAGACAGATGAGATGCCAAAGTGTACTAAGCTGTAGGTGGGCCAAATAGCAGGTATCGGCACTGCTAGGCAACCTGCCCGCAGAAAACACGAGACCCACTTTCATCCTGTTGCCCTCTTTCCACTCTCACTCCCCGCCCTAGCGATCTGCCTTTCCCCTGATCCATGACTGCCCACTGAACCAGGAAAGGTATAAAGTAATAAAAAAATGATGTGAAGTGATTAACTATGAGTCTTTGTGGCAGGGTCATTTCCCGGCAGCAGAAACAGGAAACTCTTGAATCTCTCCGTTAATGAGTCACAGAGAGAAGCCTGCGTAGAGGCAGCAGTCCAGAGGCCAGAGGCCCAGGAGGGAGAGGGGGAACCTGAGTTAAACCTCAGCTCTGCGGCCTGTCTCTGCCTGGGTCTTAAGATGCAGATTGTACTGACACATGCAGGAAGACGGGACCTAACACACATTCACACGCGCATACAGAAAACATTTCTACTGTCCATAATTAACCAACACAGGTCCAGGTTCATAAACGAATCCCATGAAATGGATGTTGGCAAAGATAAGCCACAATGACTAAATCAAAATCTCCCAAAATTCAAAATTGGGATTGCTTCAGAGTTGCAATAACAAGAATGACTCCTCTCCCATGAGTCTGGCTCTTTGTACACACACTGGACCAAATTGTTAAAAAGTGTGTGTGCAAATGTGCCTGGTGTGTGTGTGTGTGTGTGTGTGTGTGTGTGTGTGTGTGTGTGTGTGTGTGTGTGTGTGTGTGTGTGGTACAAACCTGGAGCAAACTGCCTCTCTGGGGAAATGACGGCTTTTAAACACCAGAGCGAAGGCCCCCTCCTGAGACAGAAAGAGGCAGAGGAAACACAGCAGAGTTTACATTAGCTTCATGAAACGCTAAATACACCAACGTTGAAGAACATGAAGAGAAACAGTTCTAGATAGTAAAACAATGTAAAGTTAGTTGTGTTTTTCTGTTAACTTTGACTTTGAAGAGATACATTTTTGGGACACAAACAAATGTTTCTTTAGACCCTGTGGGGTTTGGCAGTGGTTTTGGGGGTGGGGGGCGTGAGTGTGGTAAGTAGTGGTGTACAGGG